CCGCGGCATCACGTGCACCCTCAGCCAACGCCAGTCCGAGCACGAGCTGGCCTACGCTTCGTCTGAGCCCAGCCGCACGACCATCACACCGGGCCTCCGCACCGCCGCGCCGTCCGCGCCGCCATCGTCCTCTGCGCCTGGGTCGGGGTCCGCGGCGATCCTGACGGCGGTGGAAGAGAAGGCGCAGCTCGCGCGCGACGAGGCGGCGGCGATCCGCGGCATCCAGCTCGACGTCCACCGATCCCGGAGGGCTCGATTGCACGCTCACCGGGGGCGGAGAGCGTGACGGGCTCGGGGTACACGACGCTGCGGTCGCAGGTGCAGCTGCTGCAGGAGGAGATCGCGCGGCTGAAGGGGGCGTTGCCGGTAGACGAGGCTCCCCGGTGTACATGCGGTAGCGGTGTTGGCGGTGGGGTCTCGGAAGGTTGTTAGACCACCTCTCCGCTAGGTGCTGGCAGTGACGCTGGACAGCCCGGGACTGCGTTCGCTGGTGTCTGCAATATGGCACTGGCGTACTTGTCACGCATTCCTCTTTGTGTGTAGCTTTCTCGTACATCCTTTAGTACATATACCAGCTTTATGTATGCGCGCGCGTGTTTGTGGCATTACACTGTATCTCTCAAACTGTATATGTCGTGCAACGTTATCTAGCTTCATGGGTCTGCTTTAGACAAGGATGATGTTGTTCTGCTCTTGAGGGTTGTTATCTGGCTTTAATGCGAGTCAATGTCTCATCAGGACTTTTCATTGGAGCGTGGATTAGTGTACACGTGGGAGATATCTATCGAAGGCAGTGACGTGCCTGCTTTTTCTCTGTCTACCGCCACCGCCAGCTTCGCACCCTCCTCTTCCTGCCGCCTTCTGTCTGACACCATGGCCAGATCCAGGGAAGTGCCATGTGTACTTTTCCGATTCTCTTGCTTCGTCCTTCTGCATCGCAGCGCCCAACGTGATCCTGATTCCTGGCGGTCGAGGAGCGGCCATCCCGCGGCTCATCCACAACGCCCATCGGCTTCTGGCATCCTGAATTCTATGCCATCCGCATAGCAGATGGTATCAGGCTCTTGACGGCTTACGTGGGCCGTTTCCCTTTCCTGTACGAGGACGAGCGAAGGTGTGTCCCCTCGTCCGCCTCTCATTGTGTTTATCCTCTCACCTCCACATTCCTTACCCCCTTCCTTTCCTTTCACCCTCGAGGGCCCGCACTGCGCATACGCGGCGCTATGGCTCCGCTTTTGTGTAGTTCTTTGCTCTACTGGCGGCTTCTCGCCCTCTACTACCTCGCCGCCCTTCGTTGCCAAGTCTTGGCCGGAATCACAGTACAACACGTTGACGACGCCGACCCCAACATTCAGTACAACCCTGCCAGTGGATGGTCTCAAGGTGCATCCTGCAGCGGCTGTGGTCTCAAGCCAGACCCGGGGCGGACATTCGACCAGACCTGGCACGACACTACCCATCTTACGTCTCAAACGGGACCTCGGTCCTTCACATACACCTTCACCGGGGTGGGCATTTCGGTTTTCAACATCCTTGTCAACTCTGCTCCAGTGCACAAGTCCCCACAACACTCACCAACCTCCAGTTCATCCTTGACGGCGTGGAACAGTCATACATACACAATCCTGATGGAACTTCTGGCTTTCAATATCAACAGCAAGTTTTCGAATCCCCCATGCTGTCCAACGAACAGCATACCCTTACCGTACAAGCCGTAGATTCGACGAACAATGTCATCCTGTTCGATTTCCTGGAGGTCACCAGCTCGGTTGCGGATCCCCCCACCAAGACTGTTGTCATACCGTGACCACGACGTCCGATGTCTTCGGAACAGCATCACCACTTCTACGTCTACTACGACCACTTCCACTTCCACTTCCACTTCCATTCCCACTTCCACGCCCATTTCCACATCCACATCTCCTCCCCGCCGTCGTTCACCAGTACCGGAGTGACAGAGACCCCAACGACTCGACCGCCTCCCTCATCATCCTCGGATTCCACTTCCACCTCTCCTTCTACAACTGTCTCGGGGGACGCGCAGATTGGAGGACCATCGGATTCAGCGCACGGTGCAGCTTCCTCTTCCACATCTCTTGGTCTTATCGTCGGAGCAGCAGCCGGTGGTATCGCACTCCTCCTCATTATTGCATTGCTAGTCCTCCTTCTGCCGCCGCCGCCGCCGCCGTCCGCTGTCGTCCTTGGGCGACTCCTTCTACACCGGGAAGCAGCATTACCGGCCGGACTCAGGCTCGACGGAAAATGGAATGTCCCGCCTCCTCGTTATTGGAGACGCCACCCAAACCATCTCTACAAGCGCACACACCAGCATGGCCCCTTCTTCATGGTCGCAAGCCGACTCCACCTTCGACAACGATCGCTCGACCGTGGGCGCACTCGCCCGCCGCCACAGCATGGGCGAGCGCGCACCGTCTCCTTCCCCCACTCAAACCTCGGAGTCGTCGCAATACACCGTCGCTCCGTCGTCGCTCTTCCTCGGCAAGGACGGGGAAGTGCTCGACAGTGTCCCTCCGCTTCCTCCCATGCCCCTTGCTCCACAGCGCCGGGCGAACCTCGATGACCCCGCCAGACGCGCTCTCCCCCGAGCGCCATCCTCGACGGAGCGTTCGATCCGGCGTGGACGCGTCGATGTTCTCTACGAACACTCAAAGCAGTGCCACGGCGGCACTCCCCCCACGCGCAGAGACCCGGGAGCAGTGACGCTGAAGAACAAGGTGGCAGTACTGGAGCTCGAGGTCGCTCGGCTGCGGCAGCAGCAGGAGTTGTATGTGGAGGAAGCACCCCCGGATTATTGGCAGCAGCAGGGAAGGGCGAGTGAGCTGCATGGAGGGAAAGGGATGTTTACGGGGCGAAAACGTGAGCCTTGCGTCAAGTACATCCGATGCCTTCAACGTCTGACCCTCTTCAATAGATACGTGCACATGTCTGTTGTAGGTGAGGTTCAATATTCTCTGACCATAGTCGTTCGTTTGATATATGTGCGTCGTGGTGTTGTATCTTCCTGGGGTGTCTTTCGTATCGCTTCTACCTTGCGCTTTCGGGTGTATTTTCCCCCAGAATGTATGCATTGTCTTCGTCATTGCCCCCGCCCGCTTCTGAGCGAATAACTCATCATCCCGACTGACCTTGTAGTCTTTGCTCCCGTACAGCATGCGGCGGCGCCCGCGATCGAGTGCCCGCGATCGCTCGTCACTGCGGTGGCCGGTCTCGTGCGGTGATCTGTGCTTACCAGGATGGCGACCCGGAGACATGGTCTCTCCGGACGCCCTCTCTGCACATCGACGAGCTCCGAACGAAGGCCGCTGCAAGCAACAGGCGAAGATCCGATCAAGTTCGCAATCTCCGTTTTCCCAACCACAAGGGGCACAACGGCTTCACCATTAGAACGCACGCGCCCGACGCCTGCCGGAATCAACTCGCCCGCAATCACGACAACCCCTATCTCGTCAAGAACGATATTTATCCGAGCAGCTCTCCTGCATCAACGTCGTCAAGCATACCACCCTCGCCCCTTCCCCCATCGTCACCAATAACCATACCTTTTCAGACCCCTCCGTTCCCTTATTCCCTTCCAACGCCTCTTCCAACGCCAGCCCCTCACCCCCAGTGCCAGCGGGTTGCAGACTTCGGTGACGAGAACATCTGCCGGCCGTGCTCCTTCCCACACAGTCGTCCAGCAGAACCCTCACACCCCTGGAAGCCCGGGCGAAGTCGGCGTCCTGATCGCTCTTTCCCCCTGTGCCGTCTTCTTTTTCTGGAAAAGACGCAGACGTCGCCCGACTTCAAAAAGCGATACCATCCTTTCGACCAGTCGCAGCCCGTTTAGAATGTCGAAACACCAAGCGCCCCGTGTCCTTCGCGCCCTCTATCCCCACCAGCCCAAGGCATTGCATGCGACCCATTCTTCCAGATCGGACTCGCCAGTCCGTGACGGCGCATCGTCGCTCCCATCCACTCGCCCTATCTATCCTCCTGCTTCTATCATTCATGACGGCCCTGGTCCCAACGAACCTTATTCGAGCGTAGAAGATCCGCCACTCTATCCTCCCACCACGTCGTCGTCCCCATTCATGCGTCCATCCATCCCTGGGCCCCAATCGCACATCCGTGCCATGCATGAAAACTCGTTCTCCGCAGGCATCGTCTCTAGACAGGCGACACACGCCCGTGTGGGCACGGTACTCGTGGTGAACGAGGAGCGATGCGGACGTAGATGGCGTTACTCCAGCGATGCGGACTTAGATGGCGTTACTCGAGCACACGGTTGCGACGCTGCAAGAGGAGCGGGGCGTGTGGGAGCTCGCAGTACAGGACCCGCCGCCGGTGTACGAGCCGGGGATGGGCGGCACGCTGCGGCGAACGGAGGAAGCTTCGCACTTCCGAGATGTTTGCCTGATGTCGCGCGGCACGAGTGAGCAACTTTGACGAGATCACGTCGCAAGTCGAACGCACGGTCGTGGACACTGGACAATACATGTTGACAGGTCTATTCGTCGTCATGGACTAGACGCGCTTCTCGAGACAAAGGCTTGGAGGAGGGCAGTGCAAATCGTCGTACCACTCTGCTCGTAATCAGCGTCCCCTGGCGTTCCGCGAACCGGAGACCCTCCTGCAACCACCCACCGATCCACGGAGAAGAGTTCAAGGAGATGACGACGACGAACGCTGCTTCCGCAATAGGTGACGGCATGACTACGAGCGCGAAGGAACATTAGTCCAGACGATGTGGATCCTCTGGCTTCAAACCGCTCCCAGCGCCGGATCGCCTTCCCAGCTCCCTGCCGCTACTCCTCCCGTGCGCACGTCACCATGTGGGAAAACCCTCTCAGGTCATTTGAGCACCCGTCCACGGCAACGGACGCCTTCCATCTCCACCCTCAGTCCTCCCCGTCCACGGCGGCGTGGAATATGAATGCCACCGCTGCGACATCTCGACAACGGCAGGATGGTCAGATGAGCGCGCGCAATAAGAAGATGCGCCGCATCATGCAGGGCCTGCGGCGACGGATGGAATGGACGCGCGCGAAAGGCTCGGAATGGACGCCTTTAACGAGTGCTCGCGTGCTGCCGCGACGCCCGTGCGCACGCCGGACTCTTCAGCGCATCTCATCCTGCGCGTTGGCTTCCTCCCCTTCCTCCCTTTCCTCTCTTTTGCTCGGGTTCCCTCCTTCCACGGCCCCGCCGCCCCACGCTCCTTTCGTTTGTTGTGATTCAGCATAGGTGCGTTTCCACGAACAGTTCGCGCATATGCCTGAAGGTTCACTAATATTTCTGTTCTGACTAGGCATAGGGCCGTGTGGTCCATCGAGAAGAATCAATCCCTTGCTGCATAGATCAGACACCTGATGCAGGTAGATTATTCACCCGTGGAACTCTGGCTCATTCCAAAACCTGACCTTCAATCTGTTCATCCTAGATTTCGTGCCATGGTACTGAATAGGCGTCAGTTCGGCTTTCCAATCGGAAGTCAACCTCCAGGTGCTTCGAGAATCGGTTCATTCCTTTCCTCCTTTTTTCATCAACCCCCGCCTGCCTCCACGCCCCCACCTGCCACCGTACCTCAAGTAACACAGCAGACGACGACGATTGTGACTGCAACGACAACTGTCGCACATACTGCTGTTCCAAGTACAACAAGCGCTCCACGTTCCATTCCTACCACAAGTTCAACCCCAACCCCAACTGTACACCTACAGTCCCCGTCTGTTTCACACTCAGCACCCAGATCCACACCGTCGTCGTCGCCGTCGTCGGCCCCGGCGGTTAAGTCTTCGTCCACCAGAATTTCAACAAGTTCTAGCCTCGCATCACCGCCTCCTACCTCCACTCATCCCTCCGGGTCCTCAGCGGCCCTGAAGTCATCCAACCAAACTGCAATAATTGTCGGGAGCGTCGTAGGCGCAATCTTCGTTATCGCTCTGTCAGCCTTTTTGCTCTGGGTTTACAGGCGCGCTCGTCACCGCGGTCCTCTATTCATGGACCTCCAGTCGCCGCCTCTCAAAAATCAAATCCTGCCCTCCAGATGGATGCGGTCATCACGGGGTCGCGACTTCCCATCCCCAGAAGACGACAAGTCCACCATCCAGATCACCATGAGCACCGTCATCGATATGGACGACCACTCGTTGTCGCACTCCGTCTGCCCGAGCCTCAGGAGACCCGTTCGCGCAGTGCAAGGCCTGCTGCACAACAGGTCTTCAAATTCACCATCCGCCTACCCCGTCCACATCCCCTGCTCCCCACCGTGCTTCGTCGATCCCACCTTTTCTCCCAACAGGCGACCTGAATGGACCTCCTTCAGCGAGAAGGCGCTTCCCAACATTCCCGTTCCCGCCCCGCTCCGGCTGTCAGCGCCGCGTCGTGGGCCCGCCCCCGACGTCCCGCGTAGCCCGACGATCTCCACCGCGTTTACGGAGGTCGACCTCCCTCACACACAGACAGTCGAGTATCGGGAAGCGGCACAGGCGGCGTGGAAGGAAATACAGATGAATGACCCCCGCTTGGCAATGACTCCCCACGAGCTGCCGCCGGGGTATCATTGTGTGTGAAGGAACGAGCCTTGGGCTGGACGCAGCGCAGCTGGAAACGATGGACGAGTCAGTAGTACTATGTAGTAGTACTAGGATACATCCCGACGCTTATCGTGTTCCAGTATTTTATCTTTGATATATTAGCCATTTGCACTACTACTTGAAGTTCTCGTGAGTCTTGGATTGGACGGGTTGTGCTCCTTGAGGCTTGAGCACGTCAGGCGACCGTGTTGAGATGTGACGTCACTCGGTCCATCTAGACGCCGACGTCGTCAAATTCTTTCCGCAGCTACCGTCTCTCTTGCCTTCATCGTTCATTTCCCAGCTCAACGTCAAACTTCTCGTCCAAGTCACCAACCCGCCTTCCAGGCATCTCCTGCTACAGATTTCCACCGATGAACAAGTCAGCTCTCATCCCTCTTCCGCGCATACATCCTGTAAGCGACCGCAACCTATGCGTGGAAGCTGCAACGCTGAACGTGTGCTGGAGTTCTGTAAATGTTGGTCGTAGGGGAGAATAACACCATCGGTGCGTATTATTGTTTCCTTGGCATTGCTTAGATGTTTCTTTGCGGTCAGGGAGACAACGGCTCTCAATGCCTCTGTCGCGTGTCCAAACTCTTCCAATCCTTCTGCTGTTCGATGTATTATTGCTCACCGTGGCATTTCAATTCACGTTTCTGATATGATCTTTGGCTCGGGTCACCCCTCACAGAGGCGAGCTCCGTCGCGAATCCCGCTAGTCCTATAGACTCCGAAATGCGGACAACGTGCAACACGCCATCTGTCTCCAGAGACAAGCCTATCTTCCTGTACAAGCGGTGATCGACTGTCAACTAGTTGAGACTACAAAGATATCTCAAGTCGGTCGATACTGTTGTCAGGCAAGTTTGGTCTTCACTCACGAGCTACCAGCCCTGAAAACGAGCCCGACCAGTATCGGACACCCATACAGCACCTAAGTCCGAGTTCCCGTCATCTGAGGTGAGCTTACGGTTTACCATGGGAACCGTCCTGACATATCCATGAAGGAGCAATGGAGACACCGCCGCAATACAAAGTCACGGGCAAATTGTGTATCACAAAACTCCTTCAACCTCTCCCTTCCGCCTTTCCTCCCCTCCCCACATGGTCCTGAGTCGACTATGTGGACACGACCTCGGGTAGGGACGTGTATTGCGCTGCTTGTGACCCTCGGAATGTGCGCCGCCGCGCAAACATCCAGAAATGTCACCACCGAAGACACGGACGAGTCCATCAACTACCGCCCCTTAGGCGAAAACTGGTGGAGCGGCGGAGCCTTCAGCAAGTTCGGCGTCGACCCCACTCGTCTCTCTGGCCAGAGCTGGATGTGGGCTCAATCGCTGCAAGGCGACCAAACGTCCGCTACCGCCACCTTCCAGTTCTCCGGCGTATCGGTATACGTCTTCAACGTGCTCATCCACTTCATCAACGTCGAATTCTTTCTCGATGACGAGCCCAATCCTACGACATTCGTTTGGCAGCCCTCGGGATTAGAACACATCCAGTACAACACAGTCGTCTACTCGCGAAGCGGTTTGGACAACACACAACACACCTTGAAGATGCAACTGAAGAACGACGGCGAGTCGATGATCTTCTTCGACCGCTTGTGTGCATGCAATACAGGAAGAGGACACCCCCGACCCAAGCCCTACCCCTTCCAC